GAAGATTGTGATGTGGAGTAGAGGTTTCGAATATCCTGTCTTCTGGAACCTTATCCCACATTTGTTCCGATTCGGACAGATAGCTAGTACACCGGCGGAAGTCCTCACTACCTGCAGTGCACATTCAACTGGTTGATAGTGTGAATCGATGTTCATCCCTTGGGCGGCGCTGAGATGGCTAGCCACGGTGCCTCAAACATCGGGGACAGTCTTCCGACACTGTCTAGAACGTTCAAGCCTTATGAGGTTCTGTCGGGCATTGCAGGAATACCCCGCGTTTCGAGAAGCAGGGATATTGGCTATAAGCCTCAGCCCAGCTGGTATAGCATCATGATGATATGCCACTGTCACTTACGACCACACACCCACCAAAGCGCTCACCCAAGCTCCCCGACAAAATGGAGGGTGAAATTATCGACAGCAAAAGAGATGATTCGATCACTGTCAAGCAAAATGATGCTTCGATCGAAGCCTCTTCCGTGCGTGTTGAGCAATCTTTCTTCCAGCGGCTGAATGCTCGAAGTGGTCTGAATGAGCTGGGACAAGAGATGCTGCAACAATCACTGCAGTTTGACCGTGCTCAGCTAGAGGCGGACTCTGTCAAAGTCAGACGAAAGCTGGACTTTTTAGTTCTTCCAATGGTTAGATTATAGACGCACTGCTTCTGAGCATTCAGCGTGCTAATGGCTACCTAGATGATGATAACGTATATGCTGTCATTCTTGGACAAACAGACGTAAGTGAGGCAGCGAGACATCGATAAGCAAAGCATTCTCGTAACATGATACTTAGTCTTAACTATTCGAATGCATACGGCCTCCAGGCAGATACCCACATGACTGGAGACGATTACTCCTGGGTCGTCAGCGCGCTCTACTTTGGTTGGTTATGTACGTTACTAGAGCCATCAACCCGAGTCAAGAAAGGCTATTGACGTAATATAAGGTGGTGCATGGCCATGGAACATGTTGTTGCAGCGTCTCCCGATTGCAAAGACGGTCGGCGCAATGCTGATTGTCTGGGGCGCTGTCTGCATGCTGCAGGCTGCAGTCTTCAACACCGGTGGATTCTTCGCCGTTCGCTTCTTTCTCGGTCTATTCGAGGCATGTATCTCGCCATCTTGGGTGCTTCTCACTTCCATGCTCTGGACACGCGAGGAACAATCGCTTAGGAGTTCCTTCTGGCTTTGCACAAACGGCCTTGCGAGCATTCTAGGGTCTCTGCTTGCTTATGGGACGGGTACCGCTGAAGGACTCGCGATTGCAAACTGGAAGTTAATTTTCTTGGTGAGTGCAGTGGGTGATATTCTTTCATCACACTGATCGCTGATTTTGCATTCGTATGTTTTCAGATCGTCGGCGCTCTAACTCTCCTATGGGGGTTCGTCATCCTAGCCTATCTACCCGACGGTCCTCATAACGCGAAGATGCTCTCCGAATACGAGCGTATTGTCGCAGTCTGGCGAGTATCGCACAATCAGATGGGAATCAAGAACCCCACGATCAAGCCTCAGCAGATCAAAGAGGCGCTTCTCGATGGCAGATGCTATCTACTTTACATGACGGGGATGGGCATCGGAATACTAAACAGTGGAGTCACCAACTTCATGTCGGCCATCATCAAAGGACTAGATTTCGACCCGCTGCGGACATCCTTGATGCAAGCGCCCGGCGGAGCGTTCGAGATAGTGGGCTGCTTGTCGCTGGGCTATGTCTCTCAGTATCGGAACATGCTCGGCATCTCGGTTATTTTGGGCTGCTTGCCCGGTATGGTTGGGCTGATTGGCCTCTTAACCATACCAATTGACCGTCGCTACGCCCTCTTAGCTATGTGTTGGATGCAAAACTTCGTCGGCGCTCCTATAATCCTGAATTGGACGCTAGCGGGAGTCAATGTGGCCGGTCACACCAAGCGCACTACTACGCTGAGCATCTACTTCATTTGCTTTGTCGTGGGAAATATCGTCGGTCCTCATATGTTCTTATCAAAGGAGGTACCGCGATACCCGACCGCCATCAAGGGTTTACTAGGAACCTACTGTGCGGTCATCTTTTTCCAATTCATGTATACTGTGTGGTGCTGGTTGGAGAACCGACGTCCTGGTCGTGTTTCTCTGGTGGCAGTTCAGGAGAATTTATTGGAGGGTTATCAAGATATGACCGATAAAGAGAACAAACACTTTCGATATAGGATATAGAAAAGATCCTGGCATATGTGTGTTCCATGCGAGGTGGTATAGTTAGCTAAATCAACACCAGATCTAGCTAGGGGGGTCCATGCCTAACATCCATCCTCGCTACATCTATCTAACCTATGGAGTCTTAAACAGCGCGTCTAGAACCGAAGCTACTTGTATCGTTTCTTCATCCTCAAATGGACGTCCAACGATCTGGATAGTTGATGGTTGGTTCGCGAACAGGTTCGGGTCATCTGTGCATAAAGACTTCTTAGAAATCTTATTACTAGGGGACTAGTAGTCTGGCTGACTTACACAATTCATGATTGGGCTTATCATAGGGATTTGTTTCTACCGGTCGGTAATTAGAATCCACGGCGTCTAGCTGGGGATCCACCTTGAAGTTGGCCACTGGCAGGATCACGGAAGGGTAGTCGAGAAGATTGAATAGCGAGGTATATCCCCAGTAGATGTTGAAATCATGAGGGTAGCCCACTGCAGGGGCTGGGGGTAATATCAGCGCGTCGATTGCACGACCCGAGCTGGTGCGATTGGCCGTGTTGTTCCATACATCTGCGAATTGCTCTTTGAGGGCTCTCGCTTTGAGATTGAACTGTCTGTCGCGTCAGTGTGCTCCTCGAAGATCATGTTCACCAGAGGGAAAAAAAAAAAGGGATAACTCAGTACCCTCAATGCCTCTGCTGCAGAGTGCTCTTGGGTGTTGAAGACCCTGAGCAGGTCAGCAAATGCTGGTATAGTAGGCTCGCCCGAGGCTGCTAGCGTGGACATCGTTCCAGCAGATCCTGACTGGTAGTAGATATCGAACTGCCTCCCACGTTAGTGCGACAGGTTGGCGAACCCATCAGGACGCTTACCGTAGTTTTCTTAATATCCCAACAATCAAAAGGTATGTCGAACGTGATAACTTTGAATCGGGGTCAGTGAGTCTTTGCTATGATAAAAATAAGACCCCAGATGCTAATTCACCTTCATGTCCGGCTTTCTCGAGCGTCTGCTTGGTGTGCTCTAATGCTCGAAGTACCGGTGGGTGAGGCATTACCACACCATCCCACTTCAGTACTCCGATCGTGAGTTTACGATCTAGAGGACCCAGCTTTCTCCAGGGTACGGGCACGGCAGTGGAATCGTACTGGTTGAGCGGGTGCGCGTTGATGATCCGGGTAAACAGCTCGAGATCGTCAAGAGAGTGGCAGACAGGTCCGCAAGACAACTTAATGGTGAGATTCCCGGTATTGGTGTTGGTCATCCCACCTTTTGGAATGCGATCCGACGTAGGCCGAATGGCATATAGTCCGTTGAACGCGGCCGGTACCCGGATAGATCCTCCCATATCCGTTGAAGGAGCGATGGGGCTACCTCTTAGGGCCACCAGCGTCGCATCTCCACCGGAGCTTCCCCCGGCGCCCAAATCTCTATTGAATGGATTTACCGTGCGGCCCCAGAGATTGCTGACCGTCTCCAAAGCCATTCCAGACTGAGGCATGGTGGTCTTGCAGAAAAAGACGGCACCCGCAGTGCGCAACGTCTTCACAATGTTCGAGTCCTCCTTGGCTATATTTTCCCTCCTTGAGACGTAGCCCATTGTTACCGCATGGCCTTTGAGCTCATGGGAATCCTGTTTGGCGACTCCATCAGCCTCCTGTGGTCAAGATGAGGAGCGTACTCCATGGTTGTACCTTTAACGCGATCGGAACTCCGTGTAACGGGCCTTGCAACTTGCCCCCTTGGTCCAGGGCCAGATCGAGGTCTTTTGCCTGTTGAAGCCCATCTTCATAGAACCAATCGGTCAGGCAGTTCACCTATTGATCCAGTTAGCCTAACCCTACAAATTCCCGGGATTGCATTGACGTGCCAGCTGGTGCGCAATGGCAGCCCGAGCGGCAAAGGCTTCGAGAACCTGGACTGCCTTTAATTCACGAGACTCGAGACGCTTCACAATCTCCACTACAGTGAGCTCCGTAATCCTGAGTTGGTCATCTGTCAGGATGCCGCTGGTGTACGGCACGCTCGTCACATCCTTCAGCGACCGATATTTCTGGAGATCCAGCCTCCATTGCGCAGGGATAGACTCCAGCACTCTCGCCTGCGCTTCTTTGCCTATGGTCTCCCACGACATGCTGGCTTTTGCAAATGATAATAGTTGTTGGTTTCTGGCGCCTCTGTTCACAGGGAGAGTAAGCCAAGAATTCCTCGACGGCAAATGAATGCGAGGACGCGAGGTCAGATAGCGAGGGCACATAGAACAGTTACGGCAAAGAATGGAGAGGAGAACAGATGAGGGCTCTGGAGGAGACGAGCAGCATTAATTTGGGGTTGAGGGGGAAAAAACCGGTATAGCTATGGCCCAGGCTCGTATAGGCCCATATGCATGGGGTCATGGCCGCGCCACCAAGAATCAACAAAGAGGTCCGCTTCTGACGGCCAACCCCGAACGGATCCCTGTCTAGCTTCCCGACTATACTCGGACCATTTATGTAAATCGGAGTAAGTCTCGGGGGGGCATTGGGGTAAGTGTCCCTGCGAAAGCCAATCATGGGCTGGAGTCCGGGACACGCAGGTGTGTGCTTGACAGGGATGATGAGACCATATGGGCTTAATACTCCATGAGACTCTGACTCCATGAGACCCCATAAGCCCATACTCCATTGATACTCCACGATGCGACATCACATTAATAATCATTTGATTTGTCATCAAACCCTGGGGTGGTCCGTATACAGAATACTTAAGGTTCTTACCTCGGTGTGCCATTCAGCGCCCATGAATCCCCTTGACCCCCGGCTAAGAGTCGAGAACGCAAATCATGACGTACGAAATCATCGATAATATCGCGGCCAAAGGCGTCTCTTACTACACGCCGGCCCAGGACCCTCCCGCAGGCACGCAACTCGAAGGATCAGTCAAGTTGTTCAGCCCTATCACGATCCGCGGGGTGACGTTCCCCAACCGCTTGTTCCTGGCACCGCTCTGTCAGTATTCTGCGAAGGATGGCTACGCCACGGATTGGCACTTAACGCACCTTGGCGGGATCCTCCAGCGCGGCCCGGGATTGGCAATCATGGAGGCAACCGCCGTCCAGAAAGTGGGTCGTATCACCCCACAGGATCTTGGCCTCTACGAAGACGGTCAGATCGAGCCATTGAAGCGTATTACGGAGTTTGCCCATAGCCAAAATCAGAAAATCGCGATTCAATTAGCTCACTCCGGCCGGAAAGGTAGTGCTGTTGCTCCTTGGTTGAGTGGTAACGCGATGGCCGTCAAAGAAGTTGGCGGGTGGCCCGACGAGATTGTGGCGCCATCGGCCATTCCCCAGGAGGAGGGGGTCAACACCGTCCCTAAGGCTCTGACGAAGGCAGATATCGAGGTGCTCAAAAAGGACTTCGCGGAGGCTGCCAGAAGAGCGGTTGACGCGAATTTTGACGCGATTGAGATCCACGCCGCCCACGGGTATCTTTTACATCAGTTTTTGAGCCCAGTGAGCAACAGACGGACCGATGAATATGGAGGCAGTTTTGAGAACCGAGTTCGAGTGGTATTGGAGATTGTTGATGAGATTCGGGCTGTTATCCCAGCCACCATGCCTCTCCTTGTTCGCATCAGTGCGACGGATTGGTTCGAGTTTGGCCTCGAGGACGAGTTTCCCGAGAGCTGGACTCTTGATCAATCCGTCCAGCTCGCCCCCCTCTTGGCTGATCACGGTGTGGATTTAGTGGATGTCAGCTCCGGTGGTGTGCACGCCAAATCTGCCATTGCCATCAAGCCAACCCCAGCTTATCAAGTGCATTTTGCCCAAAGGATTAAGGAAGCGGTCGGCGATAAATTGCTGATATCCGCTGTGGGCGGTATTAAAACAGGGGCACTGGCGGAGGAAGTGGTCCAGTCTGGCATTGATGCTGTCCAAGCCGGACGGTGGTTCCAACAGAACCCTGGCTTAGTTCGTGCTTTTGCGAACGAGCTCAACGTAAAGGTCAGGATGGCGACACAGATCGATTGGAGTTTTGAGGGGCGCGGAAAGGGTAAAAAGCGCTCGTGAGAAAAACATTCGGTAGTCGAGGATAAATGCTCTAGGGAATAGATGGTCTAAATAAACCTAGTTAATGACCCGAAGGATTTTATCAAATAAACCTGGCTATATGCCTATTTTGCCAGGAATACGTCGAGTATCTCGCAGTTCGTGCACATAAGCAAACTGTACCTTGCGGGTTGGTGGTTGGTTGGAGGACCTGGGAAAATACCCTCTGTATAAATATCCCGTTGTTCTGTGTAAAGGTCATGTGCTGGGACGCTTAGGGGAAACCAGTACCTTTGCATCAACGGCTAATGGAAGATGCGCATCTACCCAGAGTAAGGGAAACCTCGACATAGGTCCGGAAAGAAATCACCGGCAAGTCATAGAGGCACCCGTGTTCCTAGAGATTCCCTACAAGAGACAAGATCTGCTAGTTCAAAAGACTATTAAGAATTAAGATACGAACTGACTTGATAAACCTTCTCTATATATTAGCTCTAGGTCTCTAGGCTCGAGGTAGAGACTAAAACCGAGTATAAAAACTAGAAGAGCCAACGCTTATAATAATCAATTAGAAGGATACTGGCACAGTAGTATCAAGAAGGCTAGATACAAAATCACGAAGAAAGGGTCTTTTAAAAGGATCCACAATCCAACAGAGTTAGGACAGGAGCGAGGTGTAGACTTAGATGATAGGAGAAGAAGGACGAGGGCATGGAAAAAAAAGAAGAGTTAGGATTGATTGAGAGATCTTTGATTCGGTGCTTGGGCAGCTAGATTTAGTCGCAAAGAAGTTTTTTTTTTGTTTTTTTTTTTTTTTTTTTTTTTTTTTTTTTTCTAAAAAAAAAAAAGTATTACTATAGGTAGAAGTTAAAAACACATTGATCAATCACAGATAGTGAGCCCGAATATCATAGATTCATGCTTGGCAGGTACCGAATACTAGTAGTGGTGTAGTAAGACACAACAGTTGGGAGTTACACTAGAAGTATGGCGGTGGACGGCCGCGATAGTGGTTTATTTCAGCGTCAATTCCACGGATCCTCATATTCTAACTAACTAGTTGTAATCCAGGTACTAGTGACTGACTACTCACCTACAACTAGTTAGTTTGTAGAGCAGGGGTCCGAGTAGCGCGCAACAATTAAATAGCCGCCGATTCCTTCTCAGCCTTGTCCCCCATTTGCTTTTTCCCCTTCGAAATCACTCCCCACCACAACATCGATTCGAGTCAGGATGTCTTGTTATGCACTGCACGCCGGCAAGATTTCATCCAATTTTGAGGTGGATTCAGCATGTGGAGTCGCCAATTCCACGAACCCCCATGTACAATGCTGTGTCAAGGGCGACTATTGCATGAGCAACGGCATCTGTCACTATAAGCATTCTGGCGGATCAGGATATTATGCCGCCGATTGTACAGATCCAACTCTCCAGGATCCGGCCTGCATGACACGATGCGGTAATTCCATGAGATGCGCTATCCGAGCGACCGCAGAAGCTAACAAGGTTCGCGCACTCACATAGGTGGCCACGCATTTTCGGATTTGACGTACGACGAATCGTCAGGGCTCTGGGCATGTTGCAGCTATAATAGTGATGGAAAGGCCAATTGTTCAAACCCCACGGACGAGAAATTTCCTGCTCCAGTTCCGAGCGACCTCGCGACCATACAATATCTGCCTTCAACGGGCACTCCAAGCTATCCCACGGCGACATCAAGCACGACAAGCACAGCAAGCGACGTTAGCTCGACACCGTCCTCGAACCCCAGCAGTCATATTGGAGCCGGTGCGGCGGCTGGCATTGGTGTTGGGGTGGGAGCTGGGGTGTTTTTAATAGCGATGACTGGTGCATTCTTTTATTTTCGACGTCGGAAATCGCCACAACAATCGTCAACGCATACATCGTTTCAACCTCTATGGGTCGGGTCAGAGTCGGAAACACATCAATTAGATTCACAACATCGATTTGAGCTTGGGAAACCGGAACCGCGTCCTCAAGAGCTTGCCTGAGACGGTCTCAGCTTTTTATCCATAATCGGCGTTCGCTATACCCACTTATTTGGACCTGTTATGCCTTCTCATGTGTCTACTTTGGCCTCTATAAAGTATCCATCCCTTCATAAGCTTATTGAACTTCACCTCTGATTCTGATTATTGTTGTTGTTATTATTATTGTTAATCTCTTTCATAATTTTTGTTTTTGTTTTGTTTCTGGTTTCTGTGTTTCCCACTAACATAGACCCACAATTGGGGGCCAAGTCTCTCTTCTTTTCGGTGGACCCTATCGAAGATAATGGGAATGTGTTTATGATACTACCCTGTACTTGGTGAGATAGTCGCAGAATCGGCATAGATTCATTTCTAAAAATAAGCTTCCTGTAGATCGGAATCTTATTATTCGGAGAGCCTCTTGAGGGTTGACCTTTCCCTAGGGCTTGACCGACGCCAAGCCCTCACTCAGCCCCCGCCAAGTCAGCAAGGCAGAATATCCAACGACCAAACATTCTGTTACAATCCGACTGCCTCAAAATTCCACTCAGAAGGAAGCTCCATCTTGTACAATGGAGTCTCGAGTGCAACTTCCCTCCACAATACGCCAACGACATTGCTGGGCGTGTATGCGCCGTCGGCTGGTATGCGATTTCGAGCGACCCACGTGTAACAAATGCCGATCGGCCGGTGTTGCTTGCCCCGGATATGACGAGAAGAAGCCACTCCGATGGCTAGCCCCTGGCAAAGTGACAAGTCGCACTCAAAAGCGACGATCTACTTCTGGCACGGACCGCTCCTCTACCGTTGGGAGCGATGTGGCAGCTGACAAGGAGGATGTGCCGCAAACCCGCGTGGGAAGTGAACTACTGCGAATGCCAATCCCACGGCGAGAGTTGAAAAGCGACACATGCACGATGGTTGAGGCCGTGTGGTACTGTATGTCACATCGAGCAGCTAAATGCAACTGATTTTCATCGTTCCTCCTAGTCAACGACTATGTCTACCCGGACTTTCGCCCAATGCACGAGTTAGCACCGAACCCTTACCTGGGCCAGTTTTCCCTAGATGCGCTGCACCAAATGCCCATGTCGATGTGTCACACATTAGTATATCTTGCCCTTGGCCACCGCATCCATCGCGTATACTCAGAGGATCATTGTCGCGCCGTGGCGTGTTTGCGACCGAGCCTTTATCAACATCGAGGACTCGCACTCCGATCCTTGACTGAGCTGATGGGGAACCTGCGCAACCGAACGTCGATCGATCTTACCATTGGAAGCATTTTGTTATTCCTATTCATAGATGTACGCTTGCCTTATCATTTCTCCTCAAAATGGGTCAAAACTAAAGTCAATGGTGATCTGGAAGGCCAGGCAGCTGCCGTCAGCAGACTGGCAGCACCACTTCGCTGCCGCCATGGAATTGATTAAGCTGCGTGGTGGTCTGGCTAGTCTTGCGCATTCCTCCGAGTATCTGAAGCCGCTGATACTCCATCTTCTCATGTAAGAGCTTCAGTAGTTCTTCACACTTATGCCCCACATTTTCTCGCCTCTCAAGTTACTAACTCGCAGTGCTTAGTCTGGGGGTGATGGCTAACACAACTACTCCTCCATCACAACATATTCCAGCTACATCGCAACTCGAGCTGATCGACGTCATGACAGACCTATACGGAGATGGCATATATCCGATCCTCCTATGCCCTCCGTACCTCCTCATGGACGTCATCAAGGTCAACCATCTCCGCTTCCAAACGACGTCTTCCTCCCTGAGTGAAACCACACGAGCGACAGCGCACGAGATACTCGAGCACATCGAGGCCTTCTCGCCTGAAGACTGGACCGGCACTAATCCCGACGCACGAGAGGACTGGTTACTACTGGGACGCATGTACCGGTCCGCCATAGCACTGTACTGCGTCTCGTCGCTCCAAAGCCTCTCCATCATTCCCTCCAGTAGGTACTATACTGCTATGAGGACTGTGCATGGGACTCGTCTATATAACCTTCTTCCAAAAGTTACCCGTCGCCCCCGTATCAAACATTTCGCAATGTGGCCCCTCGTTGTAGCGGGGATGCAGGCGGTTGATGCGAGTTCTAACATTCGTCATATCGTCGATGAGCAACTATCAGAGCTGAGCAAAATAATGGGCTGTCCGACGCCTACGTTAGCGAGTGCCGTGCTCCACAGGTTTTGGGCTTCGGGCCAAACAGGATGGGACGACTGCTTTGATAAAGCATACGTTTTTGTGACATAGGTCCTAGAGCCTAGCTGTAAGCATGTATCTAGAGCATGGACAGGCTTACGGGCAGGTCAAGGTTTTGAGTTCCATGTATTATGACGTGCAGGGACCAGATCTTACTTCCAAGAGGGAGTGAATCAAGTCTACAACTGCGTCATGCTTTAAATAATGGTTGGTGACCAGCGAAAGACATAACTGCTGGCTAGCCCACTGTCATTTAAGTAACAGTACGCCACATCCACATTATCAGGTGGCAGTCGATGCCCTGCCAAATAGATCGGGCTGCACCAATGACAAGCCCGGGGAATCATTATCCAGATGGGTTAACCACAAACCTGCCACCAGAGGGGGCAGAATCCGGCTGCTCACCTGCTTCTAGCTTTACAACGAGCCCAATCAAGGTCTATTTACTACTGGCCTTTATCCCTTAGTCATCTTTCAAGAAAGATTGTGACGAGATGGCAGCGCGTCCCCAACTCTACATCGTATCTTCACCCTCACTCCAGGTACTATATGAAGGTTGGTTGTGGCATCTGGAATGCACGGTGTGCCGTGCGGACTATACTAATGATTATAAAGCATTACAATGGATTCACCGAGACTCTGGCTTGCCCTCATTGGACTAGTCATCTACCCCATTGCCATTGGCATTTACCGGCTCTATTCCCATCCATTGAGGAAGATCCCGGGTCCTAAGTTAGCAGCAGTCACCCACCTGTATGAGTGGTACTATGACTTATGCTTGGGAGGGAGGTACCTCTTCGAGATCGAGCGAATGCACGAGAGATACGGTAATCATCAACCCTGAATGCCCGGCCATATCACGCCCAACTAACCACGAGCCAGGGCCCATCGTGCGCATCAACCCTCGCGAGGTCCACATCAGTGACCCGCACTATTACGACGAGATCTACGCATCGGGCACCCAGAGGCGCAATAAGGATGCAAAATATGTTTCATTCACTGGCATGCCCCTCTCCACCGCCTCGACAGTAGACCACGGCCTCCACCGCTATCGTCGGGGCCTCGTAAATAGCTTTTTCTCGAAGAAGTCGATCCGTGTGCTATCCCGCCTGGTCGAAGAGAAGGTCCACAAGCTTATGCAGCGCTTCGAAGCCTTCCACCGGGATAACGAAGTAGTCCGGGTCGATGATGCTTTCGCAGCTATGACCTCTGATGTCATTACGCATTACTGCTATGGTAAAAGTTGGGGCTATCTCGAGGACGCGAATCTGCGCACAGATGTTCGCAAGGCCGTTCATGATCTCAGCTGTAGTGTCCATTTCAATCGCATTTTCCCGATCTTCATTGCCATGCTCACAAAGCTACCCCTTCGGTTGTTGCGTGCGATCCATCCCGGAAGATCGGTTGTACTAGATATACAGAAGGCGATATATGAGCAGTCAGCTGAGGCATTTCATGGGGATAAATATAGCCTCGGCCATGATGATATGGATGGCAAACATAAAACCATCTACGACCAGCTGACTGATCCCAGTATTCCGCCTGAAGAACGGTCGCTACAGCGTCTGCAGGATGAAGGCCTTCTGCTCATCAGTGCTGGCACAGAGACTACGGCCAGAGCATTGACCGCTACCTGTTTCCACATCGCATCGGATGAGCAGATGCGCACTCGATTGAGAGAGGAGCTGAGGACCGTCCTGCCGAGCCCTACCAGCCCCGTTACCTGGTCCGAGTTAGAAAGGTTACCATATTTAGTAAGTGATCAGACAAATCTCCCTCCAAACTCTGTCTCTTCATCCTATTTCAACCCTCAACGTTTGCTTTCCCTATTGTAGTAGAATTTAACATGACTAACACACCTCCACAGACCGGCACCGTTAACGAATCCCTCCGTCTCGGCGGCTTCCTTACATCCAGATCCCCCCGCATCGCACCAGACCAAACCCTAACCTACAAAGAATACACCATCCCACCAGGAGTAAGCAAACCCCCTCGGACCCAGCCACAAAACACTAACAAACAGAGTCTCATAGACGCCAGTCAGCTCCTCAAGCTACATCGGCCACAAAGACCCAAGCATCTTTCCCGGGCCGGAGAAGTTCTCTCCCGAGCGATGGATCTCCGCCGGCCGAAACAACGAGCATCTTTTCAAATACATTACATCCTTCTCCCGTGGCAGTCGGGTATGTGTCGGCATGAAGTAAGCAAAACATCACCCGCGTCACAGATACTTACTAATGTTTGAAGTCTTGCATTCCTCGAACTTTACATGGCTCTTGCGTATTATGTACGGCGGTTTGATATTGAGTTGGTCAATACGACTGTGGAGGATATGAGGATTGTACGGGATATGGGGGTCGGGTTTACGCATAGGGGTGAGCCGAGTGTTTACGCTAGGATTGTGAAGGTGTATGAGGATTGAGGCGTAATTTATTAATTTGAGTGCTGCATATGCGTACTGTCAATGGTTCTTGTACTCTGACAACGTGGTTGAAGCTCGAAGTCCTACATTTTAGTCATCAAAGATACGGACGGAAAAACCTCATGTGAACTCTTTATATGCAAGTTCTCCATAGTTAGCGCTAGAGGTTCAGCCGAGCCTAATTCAACAGACTAATCCATATCGCCTGATATCCATCAATACTTAGTATGAGCCGGAGTGCAGATCTGATCTATGGAGCTAAGGTTTAACTCACAGGCCCACTGGTTGCATCGCATCTCGTTCGCCCTTTGCATTCCACAACTCCACTCTCTCCATCCAATCAACCATTGTAAAGCCAGTTTTGGCCGTATAGTTCCTGGGCTATTTATGTCTCCGCAGCCAGTTTTCTATTTATATACATGCAAGCGACACCAGTTTGCGACATCTCAGATATTGTCCTACAGCGTACGTGTTGACTTACGCGAGACATCAATAGACCACCACGAGCAGTTCTGCAAATAACAACCAATAATATATTACTCAAACCAATATTAATCTCAAACTAAGAATAGGGGTATTGGGGTATATTGGGGTATATCCGAAATCTCGCGAACAATAGCCACAAAAGAAAAGACATTATATCATCATATATCCCGCTTCAAACACATTTCTATGCAGCCATCAAACAAACCCTAACATCACGTCCGAACGTCATTCCCGGTCATAAAAGCTAACAGATTCCACGTGCTCCATGCACCAGAAACTACCGATAGCTCTGCTGGGTCTGAGACTGAGGCTGAGGCTGAGGCTGATAAGCCCTGTAAGGCTGCTGAGGGTAGTACTTCGGTTGGTTGGGGAGATGCGTCACGGGCCCGGTGGAGGCGTTGTCGGACAGTTGCTTCGACGAGGCGACAAGGAGAGCCGTGAGGAAGGTCGCGGCGTAGAAGAAATATTTCAGGAATGTCTGGGCCTCCATCGAACGGTTGAATGCTGCGACGCCCTTGCGCAATAATTCTCTCTGCAGGTAATCGATGATGATATGGTTGGCGAGGTTGAGAGCGGTCATTCCCAAGGACGATAGGACCAGGAGCACGATGGCGGGGAGGAGGATCTATACCATACTATGTCAGTTCTTTGGCGTATCAAAATGTACTGGGACAAAGTGACGTACTCCTCGTCGCAGATGACGGCCGCGGACTAGTGCGAACAGCATATTCGCAGCTGCCATCAGCATTCCGATTACCGAAAGGGCGTAATACGCGGTGGCTAGTCGCCTTTGATGAAGTCGTAACGTGCTGGAACTCACCCGGGCACCGGTGCGATAGGTTGTATCGATGAGGTGGGTGAAGATGGCTAGATAGCAGAGCAGGACGATTCCAAGCACGACGATATAGCCCGTATGGACGGTGGTGACCATCTTTGCGATTTTCCGGTTGCCCTGCAGCAGGCGCTTGCAGATGGGGATCATGATCACGGCAATGAGCAGGAAGTGTGCCACGGGTATAAGCCAAGTTGGCACAAGGCCGACGAGCTGGTACACAGTGACCGATGCGATGTCACATTGGAGGAGCGTGAAGAGGACGATCAAGAACATAACCGCACTGCATGTCGTTAGTCGGGATTTGGTCTGCTCGTGGAGATAAAGGGGCCAGGACTCACACGACCATGAAGGTGATCGAGAGGCCGAGAGGGAACCATCGTCGTAGGGCTACTCCTTTCTGCTTGCTGCGGATCAGCTTGAAGGCTGCGACGCAGAACAGCCCACAGAAGACGAGGAAGAAGAGCGCATGGAACGCGATGGCAATTTGCGCTGCTTGTGAGCTAAATGCGGGACCACTGCATTTGCTGGAGCTGGAGGAACTGGAGCTACTACCGCCACCGGAGGAACCACCACCACGTCTTGGTGCCATTGTGTGAATGAGGTTGTGATCTGAATGAACGGGTGAATTGCTGGCGAATGTACTGGGCGCTCAGAGGATAATAAGGGCCAGCCGGCCTCCAAGGCTGAGTCCATACTTTTACATCCCGTGCCAGGCTTGGGCACATAGCCTCAGATATTCAATCCGCCCAGACCGGTGATCATGGCGGTGGTCGTGTTGAGGGCCTACTATATATTAGCAGAACCTTAAATGAGGAAAATCGTTGGGAGGGAAACGCTGTGGTTGGCTCGAACACGACATGGCTGAGGCTCAGCCGGGAAAATACGAGGTTATTCTTAGGGAGAAGAGTTGGCAGCCAATTTCCACCAGCCCACGAAGGAGTGAAAAATCTCCATATGTGGATTGATTTGCCGAACACCGTATTCAGATAAAGACAACATGCATCCTGTGCGTGCTTGTCATCGCGCTACTGGATTGCGGTCAGGCACGAGGCTTGACCGTACTCAGGATTCTCCCTTTACGAGGAGAAACTGCGGGGGGAACAGCAGTAGTACCAATCAAGGTGTCTCTTATTATCGCAAAGGTCCACATGATTAGATGTATCTTAACTATCTGCACAGCTGTAGAGATAAATAGCTAACGAAAGCATCATTATTGGTTGAGCGAAGGTACACAGGGAACGATGGTTGCTATCCGACAAAACACACGTGGATTATATATACCCAATCCAAATCCCTTCTCATATTCATTAAGCACATCACACCATTCAATCAAGATATCTTCTCACAGGAAAGCACCCAGCACGAAGGGGAGCATCCACGTGGCCCACCCTTGAGGCAAGGTCAAGGACGCACCCGAGTCAGTCGACGAGGGCGAAGCCGATGAGGAAGTGGAGGAAGACGTTTCCGAGCTGCTGGTGGTCTCACTTGCACTTGTGGTCGATGCCTCCGTGGTGGTAGAGGTCGAAGTCGAAGTGGTCGATCCGGACTCGGTGGCCGAGGCCGATCCGCTGGTGGGCGTCGCCGAGTCCGAGGTCGATTCGGTTCCACTGCTGGACGATCCGGTGGGAGACGCCGATCCAGTGGTCGATCCAGTGGGAGATTCAGTGCCGGTGGCAGATGCGGTTCCAGTCGCAGTGCCCGACTGGCCGGTCTCGGTGAAGTATGGGAGAGTGACTGAGCCGGTCTCCGTGGGACCAGTGACAGAGGCGGAGCCGGTGTCAGTGGGAGTGGCATCGGCCAAGTCGGTCGATTGCTCCTGTCTCCGCTGGATGTTGGCAGCCTGGGCCATGGAGGAGCCCAAAAGGGCGACGAGAACGGTAGACGACTTGATCTGCATTGTGGAGGGGGGTGGTTTAATTTTCAGGCAGAGATTAATTATGGGTGATCGATATCTGGGGCCATATGGGAAGCGACGGTGCCGTAATGTCCTACTTATACACGGGACCTTCTGCAGCTCAGAGACAACAGCCACAAGAGCTTACGTTTGCACCTACGTATGATGCCACTCACGTCCAGACCCGGGCCAGGTGGGGGAAGGGCTAAGCGGCTTGGCCCCGTCGGTGTGTAGGGTTTTTTTGGACGCAATCCCCCTTGTGATTGGTAATGGGTGGGAGGCAATGCTGGCATCTGCAGATCCGCGGAGGATCCCAACCTGTCAGAAGTCCCTTTCGCTTCGGGATGACCAGCGTAGTAAGCCGCAGGGGCCTGAACTGATTCTCAGCCTTGCATCGTTCTCCCGGTGTTTTGTACGAACCCACTTAGACCTCATGGGAGACCCTTTCTGTTGGTTTGTATACGTCACGGCACTCCGGCAACCGATGCCCAAGTGTCAGCGATCGTCTTGACGGTTCTGTAATCGCGAGCGAACGAGGGCTTATGCACACGGGAACTGCCCCGTCGGGTTTCCGCGACGCTCCGGAGGTCATCGCAAGAACAATCGCTTCAAACGCCATCATCACCCCACCTGGGCTTTTCAGTCGCTAGGCAACCCCCAACCTCTCTCTCACTCGGTCTCCTGATGTCTGGGGTATACTCAGCCATCTGGATTATGATTGGAGTGGTTTTGCCGATCGCGGCCAGCGACTGCCAAGCCGCTGCAAGGCCTTTAAGAAATCAGATCCTCGGGAGTTTACAGTTATGCTCTACATAAATACCGCGAACAACAGACACGAGAGGGTTTATGTGGACTTGTGTACATTCACTGCTCGCTACGGATTCTCGTATTGTCTCAGAGCGAAATCCAAGAGGTCGGGATACCATCGCCGACCCACATCCTGGTGGCTGATCACCCGGTGCAGGAGCGTTCCCTCACCTGTCCGGCCGCTGAAGATGCGATTAAACGTAGCCTCCGCATCCGATCGTACCTTGTCATCCTGGATCAGATCCCTGATATGCTGTGGTATCTGCAGGCCGATTTTCTCAGCAGAGAGATCGAGGCCCATTCCCAGGAACACAGGGATGGAGAACCGCGGCCCGAGAGGCGCGCCCGTCTGATCGATAAAATTCCGGGGCGCAAGGGATACCCGATGAGTCGTCGCCGTGCACACGCCCCCTGTGATGGCCTCCAACGCGCGCCCAATGTTCACCACCAAGGAATGCTCCACCGGCGCAGCCGAGATCCAATCGCCCGATTTATTCTGCACTTCTAATCCGGAGTGGGGCGATGCTTGGAGGAGAAAGGTCAGGAATTCCGAATCCTTATGAGGGCCGACGCCTTGAACCTCTGCCTCGGTCGAGGACCCAGGCGGCGGGGGATATTTGATCAACTTCAACTTCAGTTGCTGTGGGTCGTCAAAGTACGGGTCCAGCGCGGTCGGTGGCAGATCGAGTGCCTCTGAAATGAGTCCCCGAAATGCATCTGATAGTGGGCTGATTTCATCGAGATAGGCCTCGATGGCCTGGCGAAAGCCAGGAATGGCGCTTTCATCGGGCCACTGGAGAGGGTTAGCATGCCTTCTGAAAGGTTAACAAGCAATGCAGGTTGATTGTAGTTACCTGATTAGGGCCCCGAATATTTCGATAGAGTGGTTCATCAGGCCCTGGAGTTGGTAACTCTGTGGCGAACTACACGTGGTGTCGTTAGCATCTTGGAGTGGAGGATATATATATATATATATCGGTGTAGAGTGGCGTACATCGAACTGCTCCCGATAGTCCTGTTCGCGCGCAGTAATCTCCGCCCCCAGTCGAGAGTAGCCCAGAAAATGTTTACTGTTCACCATTTCAATCTCGACCTTCTTCTCTAACGGTAGGTCAAAGATTTCCTTGCACTTATCCACTACACCCTGTTGGACTCGAGGTGCAATGGGCGCATTGATCAGATAGAAGAACCCCACATTGATCAGTGCATTCCGAAGATCGGATAGGAACTGCGACTTGGTGGTCGATGCCGTGGAAAGGGAGTAATCCAATACGGGGATGGTAGTAAATGATGATGTATTCGTAGCCATGGTACGCAACTCAGTGCTTCTTTTGCGATCAATGATCCTGGAGAAAAGATGAAGTTTAATGCCATCTCGTCTCCCATTTTATGGCCACAGCCGACCGTATTGTCATTTTCCCGGTCGGGTCTAGTGCCGTATCGCATCATTCCAATTGTGGATGAGGTGACGGTAATTACATTACTCGATATACATTTTACCATGAATCAAAGAGTATACACGATGGTAGACTAGATAATAATGACTTGAGGTATATTCTCAGATTAACGACAGAGCAATCGCCACGTTATGTATTGAAGGTACACTCAGTTCGACATACGCTAGTAAACACAATCAATGCGAGGAGGGAATATTCAGAATTTTGCGATAGCAAATAATAAATCAGGGAAAGGATTCGTAAGGCATACTTCGCCACGGCATCAGGTATCCCAAAAAAAAAAGGTACAGGCACTTAAATCGTCATAAAGAACATGACCGCAAATGCGATGACGGCTGCGGTGCGATTCAGCTGATCCTTCGACGCCCCGGAAGTTGACGACGCCATCAGCAGCTCCGGTTCATAGGCCGCCGGTGTGGTAGAGTTGGTCTTGCCGTCCCAGCAGTACTTCTGGAAGCAAGTATTGCAGATATCGGGAAGCTTAGTGTTCGTACGTTCAGTGGACCGTTGGAGAATGGCACACCCAACGCAGGACGGCCAGTTCGCGTCGGCACTGGCATTGCCCTGGGTCACGACGTTGTAGCCGTTCAAGATAATCTCATCGCGTTGTTCGTCCTTATACGACAGCTGGAAGGTCGAGGTGTTGGACTCGGCGGTGTAAGGGGCGTTGGGCAGGTAGACGATCAACGGGGTCGGGCTGCTGGTGTTGGACGAGTCACATCCGAAGAAGGTTGGGCGTTTGTTCAAGCCGAGGTTGAGGAATGTGTTGACATCGGGCACCGCAGGGAAGGAGGTCCCGTTGGCGATACCAGTGGTGTTCAAACTCCGTTCATAGGTGTAGATTAGAGAGGACCCGTTGGGCCAGCTATAGTCCGTATCGGCGGATGAATCCACGGCAAAGATCACATCCACGTTGCGGGTAGGCTGGATCAACGGGTGCAGAGGCACGTTCTGTCCATCTTCGCCTCCATCGACCACGTCCAGCTCTGGAGTCGACGAATATGCCGCCGTCGAATTGCGGTATTTGTAGAAGGGGTTGGGTGCATAGACTGCAATATCGTCATCCTTCTCACCGATATGCTCCAAAACATCGGCAATAGCCTCCTTGAGGAAATCAGGGATATCGGTGCCATTCAGACGCAGGATGAACTGGTTGAATAGGGACGAGCTGGTACCCATGACGAAACCCGCATTGTCAAAGCCGCGCACGCACGATTCCCCCTTGGGGAGCACACCGTTCTCGAAATTTGACCCGAGATACTCCAATGGGGCAAAGCCGTACACAGACGGATCAAAAGAGCCAAATTCCCATGGATTGAATTCGTACACAGTGGAGTTGCTTCCAATGAGTATTTCGCCCGGGTTGCGTCCATCGGCGACGAGGATAGGCATGGGCATCTTACCCTTCTTGAAATCGTCGGCCAGGGCAATCGACGACCATGTATAACTGGGACCACCATCGTCAGTGGTCGCGTTGATGAACTGATAGGAGAGAGCACGGCCCCAGTAGTCGGTCAACGACGTATTGAAGCCGGCCTTTTTCTTGTCCTTCACAGCATCGTACAGATCCTTCCAGTAGGCGGCCGTGTTGACCAGTTGGAAATGTTTGACATCAGGACCTTCCAGGATCGAGTTCTTGAAATCCCAGACCTTGTCACTGGCCTGCAGGTCACCAATCGTGGTGAAGTTATTGATGTACACGGAGCCCACGAGCCATCCACCACCACTCAGGCCCGATAGATAAGTGGCAGACTGCAGAAGGCCTCCGAGTTGTCCACGGGCTGTGGAGTTGGAGGTACGGCTATCGAATGCCTTGATAGCACCGGCGCCATTAGTCAAAGCGCGATAGCCACCACCCGAAACGGCAATGGCCACGTTGGGAATGTTTGACGCGTTGTTTTTATGACGATCAATGTACCCAGAGGCATCAAAGGAGCTCAGATTGAGCCGGCCGAGCAAATCCTTCATGGGCTGAAGGGTCTCATTCCGACGCACTTGCAACCAGTCTTTCTCATTGGTCGACAGGACAGAGGCACTGCGGATACTGGGGCGAGTGGACGGACAGGAAACATTGGCGGGAGCATATTCATCAGGGGCGTTGGGGAACGCCCGTGGAGTGACGGCGATCGAGGCGGCATTGGCCAAGCCCGCTGCTAAGGTGAGCAGGGCGACCTTCATAGTGGTAGCGGTGGATAGGAAACGGAGGGAAAGACAGGGAATGGCGTCCAAGAGGCAGCACAGAAGGATACCGCCGTAGAGTAATATAACGACTGACGGTCAGCCATGAGGCCCCATTCTTTGGATTGTACCACATTCGGCGTGGACCAACCGGAAGACAGTGGAATAGAGCGTCTCCATTCCACCAGTTCCAGTGGAGCATCCCCTGCCAATCACCTTCCCCTTCGGATTCCGGCAGTCGAATAGGGCTGATTAGGCAGCACTTTTCAATGGTTCTTCGCCGTTGCATTCGCTCTCGGAATGTCACCTTCGCGCAGGCTCATCCACCATGGTCGCTGTTCGAGCTGACTGTGCCTTGTCGCACTGCCACTTGTTAATTTAGGCAGCATCATAAAGACCCTTGTCTCTCATTTTCTGGCTCTTGGCAGCCGTTGACATTCAGATGTCCGAAGTGGCTGAGAAGAGCTTCTAGAAAATAGATTGGCTCCACGAAATGTCTCAAGGTCTTCACCTGTCATGTGACGTGTCCGACGGAGACCAAATTTATGACGTCTGCACAAAGAAAAAAGACCCTGCACATCATTTTAGGCTTGTTTGTTTGTTTGTTTTGTTTTATGCCTGCATAACCATGAAGTTATGTAACTGATTTTCGGTTATCCGACTGGCTTTATGTGGCGGTTATTATACCTCCGATTGAAGTTTCACGAAATTTCGCCCACATTTCTCATTAATTTTATGTGATCTTGATGTGCGCATTATTTTCTATTCTTTTCGGTACCTGCTGCTGGGCGCCTTCTTACCCCCTACCCACTTCCCTACAGTGAAGTTATTGTATCATGAATTTGGCTCCCCAGCCCCCTTGCATATTTAATCAAACTGAACGGACAACCCGAAACATACCTCAAGGATCATACCGGCAAATCAGAGCTGCTCTTAGCCCAAGCCAAGCCACTGTGACGCTGACTAGAGACAGACCGACATTCGTCGGGCTAGCGTCTCAATAGCGTCTCAGCAAACTCATCAGGCTTCCCATTTGGGCCGCTCAACCCGCCGCAAAAATAGGACCAAGGGGAAAACCGTCCCCTGTGACACATTTCTTTTGCTATGCAATACCGAGGACGTTTGACAATCGCAAATCTATATAGGAATTAGGACTGACTGACAGTATTCCGAATTTTTGTTGGCTTAGAAGGAGTATTATTACACTAAACCCACCCTTGATATCTAGCGCCGGCTCATCTTTGTCCCAGTGAGGTTGAACTCACCGTTCGTCCTTCTCGATGGATTCTCTAGTGTGGGGGCCATACGCGGAGGGATTATTTTGCTTCATGTACAGTAATCATGGCAATGTACGCTGAGCCGCAATTTTACTCCTGTGGATTGCTCAGAGACGATCAACCCAATAAGATGACGTTGTCGAGAAGGTGCTGGGTCCATATGTCTTTAGTACCTGGGTAGGGCTGGCAAGTCAAGCATGCACCCAAATGCCGGAATCGTACTCGTATCGAATTTCTCGAGAAGAAACAGCCACATGGATAGTATGAGTGGTTATCTAAAAGTGGAGAGAAAAATACACACGTGAAATACAACGGAAACAAAGGGAAAAACTGACACGGTTCCATGGGCACTTCCACTTATAGATTATCCTATTCTCTCAGCCAAGAACAACAGTTCCTCTCGCAAGATCCAGACGAGGCCTATCTGCTCAACATGTATTCAATTGGTACCTATGCTTACCAAAACAAACTCATTCTGTGGGATGGCGACGAGGTTGTAGAGCTTTTATCGTTATCCCTGCTACGAGGTCATTTGAAATGACCTCGTACTATCTTGGGCTGCAGAAAGAGCACAGAATTTAATATATGCCCCCACCATGATACCATGGCACTTTCGGACCACATTCGCAGAGTATTTGACAGCCTACATAGGGCTACATTTCTTTGTGGCGTACGTCTTAACAATGACGGGACTCTCCGGGATAATTATTGATGGTGAATCATTTCGTTAGCGGCCTAGAACATCCATCACCGATATGTGTGATAAAAATGTACCCGCTCTTTCCCGTCTGACCATTTATCAGTAGACTCGAAATGTCGTGTTGCAAACTGTGTGTATGCACTTCATTCAGATATCTCAACTCGGCTGATACCGAGGAGGTGGTGAGCATGGTTGTTGTAAGTAGGACATCATGTCCGGATTAATGTCACTCGGCTGCTGAGATTTGACTGTAGGCCTTCACCCCATTCAATACTCCTTTCACTCACCAAGCCAGTATTGGGGTTTCAAGGAATGAGCCGTTACGTTTGCCGAATATCCATTGATGTGCCGTGTGTGAGTGTAAAAGAGGTAATGAACGCTTCCCTGAGAGGCTGTTTAATACTAGCTGCAGGAAGGTGGCTCTTTCCCGTATACACCAACGAGACCAGGCTCTCTTAGTAGACAAATATTAAGATGAGAGCTACATCTGCCCATTCTGTATTTAACAGATCCCACATGGACTATAACATATGTGCTCTAGCACAGGAAATCGTTGGATACCCAGTTGGTTCGCTAAACTGTCAGTCATGCTGCGTGAATTGTGACCTACAGAACTCTGCACCACACAACACAGAGACGCACGAAAGACAACCACAGTGGCGTCATCACGTGCAGTGGCCATAGTGACGGTGTCTTGTTTTTAGCCAACAGACACGAGCAGCCCAGGTACACGACGGAGATAATTGGTTCGCCTCTATCAGAATGCCGTGCTGCCCCTCCCGTCTTTATCTCTTCTCGTTTAGTCGAAAAGATCTACTGTGTTCGAGCATCGCCTCATCCGCACCAAGGCATCTAGATTCACGCTCTGTGATGTACTAGGATTGGCGCGGTCATGGACTATGCAACTCTTGTTGATCTCCCACTGGAGTTAATGGAGGGCTTAGTGTCTTTCCTTGATTTACACGAGAGGTGCAATCTTCGACTAACCTCACGAGCTATGGCCAACAAAACATCTTTCATCTCATTCAGGCACAACTTCTACCGAAAGAAGATACAGTTGACAGAGGAATGCCTCCAGGCATTTGTGGACGTGACACAAAAAGGATGGCTGGGATGCCACCTCCAGCACTTAACCGTAATGGACATGCCAGCGGGCGATGTCCAGATTTTAGCCGAGCAACGAGCCGTAACCCTTCTGCGACGGGCTTTGACGAATCTGCTCGTCAACTCCGGACATGGACTCCTACAATCACTGACTCTCACGATCGAAACAGAGGCAAATACCGAAGCACCCTGGAGGAGCGTCTGGGAGGCGGCAGCGACGCTCTTTCGGGTCACTACAGTAGCCCTTGGCAGGAGCAAATTACACGTGGAAGCATTGGACATATTCTGCAGTATCGATCGCTGCAGCTTGGCATGTGGCGAGATTGCGAAAGTGTGCAAGAGGGTGAACATGTCCGAATCTCTGAAGAACATCAAGACCATATCACTAAGCCTGTCGCATCAACAAACGAGGAGACAGCCGAACACTCATATGCTCCCTGCTGCGATTGGCCGAGGCAACACCCACGCTATAACCTGCTTATTGAACATGTGCCCTAAGCTCGAATCTCTTCACCTGCACTGGTACAACCTGGAACTGGTCAACCTGACCCAGGCACAGAAGGAAGAGCAGCACTTCTTCGATCGAATCGCGGACTCCTGTCCGATTGCGCGCTTGAAGCAGTGCACACTGCAAGGAATCTACACATCTGAGGAAAAGCTGCACTATTTCCTTCGTCGCCGGCGCCTCCGCAGCCTGACTATGGAACAGATACGCCCCGACTCGGGTAGCTTTCAACCCATTTTCGAATATCTATCATTGAACATGAGAAGGCTGCGATATCTCCACTTTGATGACTTTTGGGAAGATAAATTGCTCTACTTCGATGGCCCAGGGCAGCCACACTTCCCGAGTACTAACGGCCCCAACCTACCTAATTCCATAACGAGAAACGGGCGCGAAACACGCAGGCTTATCCGGTATTGCTTCAGTGTCGGCGGGTCACTAGTCAGTGCCGGTTGTAGACAATGGATGGAGAAACATTGGCGTCTTTACGGACCTCAAAGAGCGGTTTACGCGTGAACGGGACTAGGAACGTGTTACAGCTTAACTTCCCTTTACGGCCATAATTAGGGCATTTGCTCTCAGTAATTTCTATTAGTATCTTGTTGGAGGCGGGCATACTGTTCGGAAAGTTCGATTCATCCTACAGACAGTTGAGCTGTTTACTACCTTTGAATAGTTCCCTAACGTTCTACTTAGTCGGTGACCGCTGTTTATTGGATCAGGGAATATACGGACACATTGTTGCAGCTTGTTGGCCTGTGCTAACCTCATGGGCCCTTTCATAAACCGTGCAACTTGTGGCTTCTATAGAAAGATTGCATTGCCAATTATAGTGTGGGAAATGATGTTCGCTTTGGAATAAAAGCGTTAAAGTGAAACACCAACAGGTTATTATCGGACGACGTCAAGGACTGACCTTGAAAATATCAGTATACATAATTGTCCAATCGTCAAACATCATTCACGTAGCAAAGGAAAGAACGAGCATGGTCCTTTCCCTCACAGGGCTTTACTTTCGAGTCACTGCTCGCCGCCTATGAACCCGCCTACTCAATCCTTTGCCTCCCAAACCCTTGGAAGCCTTGACACTTTACCTAGGTTATAGCATATTACTACGTTGATATATACGAATACCAACAAGCAACACTGACGCCTGGTATTGGTGCATTAGGCATGACCGGTCTTTCGTTATAATTTTTGTTATAATTTTCGTTATTTTTAACTATATGAACCGACCCAACTTCCTTGGATTCCTCATCCTTGTGAACGTGCCCTCCTCGCGCGATGACAGAATCACCAGATCCCCCACTCCTTGATCTACCGACAGAGTTGCAACTCATAATCACCAAATACCTGGACTATCCCTCCAGATTATCACTTTCCCAGACAAGCAAATACTTTCGATCCTTAATTCCCACCCAACCTCCCTCCTCATTAACACTGAGAAGAAGATATCTTTGTGATATGGAAACATGGCCTGGGTAGGTCCTGGTTGATGCAATGAGTATATTTTATCCTAGCGCTATACAACTGACTTCTGCAGATACGAAGAGTACTTTGCCTGCAGTTACTGCCTCCGTCTCCTTCACTTTGCCCGTTTCGCTCGCAGTCAAGTGCTTGGGTCGCGGGCCAATTTGTCCTCTGGAAGGCACAATCGGGCTTGTATTCATTGCCAAGAGAATCATACCTTTATAAAGTATAGGAACTGCGCCCGTGGCCAACCTTGGGTATATGGCCCATCAATCTATAACAATACACGATGTTGCTGGATGCAATGCCTAGGGGCAAACGTTGGCCTATGGCCTGCCCAAGCGATCGTTCCGTTACCGTGGTCTCCTCCTTACGCCTCAATAGTTCCTATACCGTATATATACTACCATCATGGTCATGGAGGCAACTATCCACCTTGGTGGTCACTGTATTATCCATATGATGGCTGGTCACAATACGACTATACAAATAATCCGAATATTGCCATGGTGGGAGCTCTCACGAATGAGTGATAATGGTATGTAGGTAAGGTGACTTGAAGAGAGTTTGATTGATGCCTATTCTTTGACTTTTCTTTGCTTCCTTTGCCCGGGTGTGTAATATGCAGTTTAAACTCGCCAATGGCACTTTTATAGACATATTGCCAATACCCTTTCATCACTATTCTCCGCTTCGTGCAATTGATCAAATTGCTGTCTTGGTTAGACCTGTTGTTGTACATATCTCAATCCAAGGTCTCATTAACGACGTCTGGGCCGCCTAATTTCACGATAAGAACTGCATCGATCAAATGTCGTGAGTCAAGGTCACTTGAGATTTCTTTCTCTCCCTGTTTCTCTCTTTCCTCTTTCTGTCTTTGTACTCTTCTTTTTCTTTTTCGCATTCGTTTTAGACACAACTCATGACGGTGAATGGGATGGGTAGGTTATACTAAAACGGAAGAGGAGGAAGCAAGTTTCCCGGTACTTGAACTTGCCTTCGCTGCCGAAGTTTGGAAAGGACCTGGGTTTTGTGAGCGTATATGTAGTTTGCGAGTCTTACATGTACTATTACTTCATAATGCAAATGGTGCATCAATTGCTTTAGCTGTTTGTGTAGTGTACTGTTATCTTGCTTATGCAAGGTGTTACTTAGATTGTGAGCACCCTAGATGTTCACGTAGTTCCGCGTACCAATACCGAACTTGAACCGGCATATATATGAGCTAGAGAGAGTGGTAGATTTAGCCAGTAACAAAGTATAAAATAAAGATCATAATTGAGGGTGTCACGATCAAATGCTGTAATGGGCATGTGGTCGCTGGATTTCAGATGTCGCGCCCTACGCCCTAGGGCATAACCCACGTACTCTGTCCTTATAGATGCCGATGTGAGTTTGAAGTCAACGTGAGCCGCCAAAGCTGTACCACTTTATGAGATGGCTAGAACTACGTCAGCATTCAGTGGTCGGGATTTGGCGGGGGTATAGTCCTTCGTTAGATAAAGACGAATGACAATCTTCCAAAAAGACCCCAACCTCAACCCTTCCCAATCGGGACCAGTTCCCGATGCAGACTAGTGCCGGTCGACCGAGCACCTGACGTCACAGGACCAGGCCCAAACCTACTCCGCATCTCCTCAGCAATCCAACTTTCAAACACCATTCATCAGTTTCTCAAAATGGACTCGAAGGTAGCAAGATTACCCCTTTTCGGGGGCCCCAGGTGAGTTCCACGATCCGAACCCCGACCGGTCTCCATCCAACATCACTCACAAGACGAAAAGAGCATGGCACTCCTCGGACTGGACCTCCACTGACGATCGCGTGCGTGGTGGATCGTCGCACTCCCACATGAGCTGTTCGCCCGCCTCTCTGGTCGCCCGATTCTACGGAAACCTCGACATCACCACGCTCGGTGGAGCGGGGTTCGCCTCGCAGCGGACGACAGGTGAAGATAGAAGCTGGGATCTCTCTGGCTACGACGGGTTGGAATTGCATATTGCCGGCGGGGATGATAAACTGTATACCATCACGCTAAAGGATGAGACTGCGCCGAAGCGCCCAGATGGAAGGCAGGAGAGTACCCTGAGCTGGGAATTTGATTTCCATGCTCATGGTGAGAAGAGGATTTTCATAAAATGGGCTGATTTTAAGCCTACGTATCGGGGGAAGGAGCAGGAGGATGTCACACCGCTGGATTTGACTGGGGTGAAACAGATCAGTTTCATGCTACGCAGGTAAGTGTCCTCGAGCTACGAGATATGGTCGGCGTGGTATTAACTGCGTATAGCTTCTTCGGGGTGCAGGAAGGAGACTTTAGTTTGGAGCTTGTCTCGATCGCCGCCGTTCGATACACGTATTACCGTGATGATCCGGAGGAGGAAGAGGAGTATGTGAATGTGGATGAAAAGCTGGGGACTGTTTCGAACCGGCCAAACTCGCGAGGCTGGATTAGTTGGATTGGGCAGTGTTTTGGCTTGAGCTAAGGCATTGTGGCTTCTGTCATCGATGGGTTACGCAGGGGCATCTTCCCTATGTGTAAGTTACGTTGTACATACCAGCTCCGGAGCGAGGGTTCCCTCAGCTCTTCCACAACGATTTACCATGTTATAGTTGGGCACAAGGTAGCTCCCCACAGGGACGAATTTGGTATATAGTTGTTTATAGCCTTGCAGAATTGTTGATGTTACTGAACTTCAATGACAGGGAAAGAATGCCAGCACTGTGCCATATCATCTGTAACGCACCACGTAATGTAAGGAATATATTAGCACACCGAAAAGAATCACGGGAGGTAACACCAGGAGATAAATTATCCCACAAGCGCAGAATACCATGTCCATCCATGTTAGACCCCCTTAACTGGGCTCTTAGAAGGGTTGTAGCAACTCAGCCTCTGGGGTCATTTTCTTTGTTTGAACGTCTAGAACCGGGACACACATAGACTAAGGTATGCATGTTAGGCAGCATATGTGCAAGGGACAGGGTCATGTGGGATATAAGCAGGCCTCTATTCGTCCACTGTGAGCCACATCCATCGAGTCCATGTCCAGGGGTCGCACAAACCACAGCGATGGCTAGGGCACCTTCATTTATTGAGTCGTTGCTAGGTAGCATCCAAAGCACTGCAGCATGTGGCACACCTGAGTGAAGCCCAATATAAACATGAATGACAAATTTAGGTCTTGGCCAGCGTAAGTATAAAGTAACCAGGAGAATGGTCGTGCATCTTGGGCACTAAAACGAGCGTACTGAACGGTAGCCTTGTGGGCAACAAGAGGCTGAGCGACATGCTGGCAGCCTCGGCCGTGCTATTTAGATCACCCAGCCAGATTCGGATCCCTCTGAGCTGGGAGGAGTCTCTCCGAGACACACTCGACAAGAACCGTCCTTATAATCATCTTGGGCGTCGACCACTCGAGGAAGGTCGCGAAGCCTTCCACTTGGGGGGACACAGCGAGATTGATCGGGACGCATAAAGGAATCCCTGCACCGCTGAATGCCGTAGACGAACATATGGCCGCAGCCAGTTCGGCCTCTATAATGTTCACAGAGCAATTCACACATTACTAAGACTATCAGTGTCTGGCATTACCAATTTCCAGCTGTCACACCTTCTGTTATAACTTTACTATTTATGAAAGAAGTGAAATGGTCATGCGTGAGAGGTTCGGTATCAGGTTGTAGTGACCGGAAGGATACACTCAAATGAGGCTGTCCGGCAAGCAATTTTGGAAAAGCGATCTTATGTGAAGGGTATATGTAGAATTGAAGAACACGGGGTTGCAGGGTGGACTGTAAATAACATAGAATGCTGTGGGTTCAGCAGAAGGTCTAAAGACAGGAGAGATAGACAGTTGGGCATGCTTTCCGTAAGGCAAGCAGCCTGTGCAGGCTATGCGCTCCAAAGTAGAAGGTACATATTCGTTCGTTCTTGCCGCACAAGGTCGCGCAGCTTGATTGGCAGTTTCATACATTGAATAGACGGTTAAGCCATATTCATTCACTACATCTGGGCATCCCTCTAGTTTAGTTTTGGGGACACCTCTCTTTCTCCGTTCAAGCATGTCAGAGGGAGTCGTGCCACGTGAGTTCATTTTACTATAGATATAGCCCACTCACAGAAACTGGCGCGACAAAAAAAAGTGTATCGGGTTTCTTTGATGTGCTAGAAGGCATAGGGCATATATAGCTGCTGTAGGCTAGCCAGAAATTACCATTACGCTGGTTGACGTGTTTTGAGATATGGCATCATCAAGCTCTTGAATACCCTGCCGCTGAATTGGTAATGAATGTGTTAAGGTCGGGAAGCAGTGTTCCTCAATTGTCTAACCACTATCATTGTCGCTGCGACATGCGGTTCAGTGTTCGCTGGTGGGTTGCCCAAACAGTGGCTGATGGATATCGAGCATCGCAGGATTTTGTTGTGGAACGCTGGTAAGATGGAATGTATGTGGCGACTGCTATAATGACTTGCTACCGAAGATAACTGCCGCCTGGGGAATATCAGGACGCCATTGTACTTCGATCTCAAGTTCGTGCAATCCTCCTTTCATATTATCTCACGGACTACTGTTGATAGGGGTGGTTCACCAGGTGTGCTTGAGATACAGCATAGGTTGAGCGAGCAGTGTAAACAACTACTTGAAAGTAGGACCCTAGAAAGATGTTTAGAAATGAGCAAAACATAATATCGTACCTGGGTTCGGACTGGGATAACAGGAAGCCCTTTGTAGAATATTCAGCGACGACATTACTTGACCTAGACTTGTTACTTGTGGGAAGGCGGGAGATGTAGGTCAGGGTAAGCTAGCACGCAAATACTCTTAGCCATACATAAATATGGGTTTCGCATAGAACCAATTCTAGGACACCCCCATGAATTTTCTGAGCAACAATAAGGGAGGTATAATTGTTATGTCTAAATAAGGGAAGAAGAGTCCTTCGAAATTATAGTCATGGTCTCCTTGGCTCAATACATGATCGGTCGCCAGGGACGGTCATTCACTTGGAAAGATCTCTCACTCGCGTACGCTCTCAACTCTTGTGTCCTCAAAATGAAGAATACTCCGCGAACTAACTATGTAGTATTACACCCAACCTTCGTATGCCATTGAACTGGAATCTTTGTGAGCGGACAATCAATTTCCCTTTTCGGACGACCAGCCCTATCCACCTTATGACGTCATCAGGAATACACACTAAATCCATCCAGCCCTTGAAACATCATCGCCCATCATAAGCATAACCCCGACTAATTAACTATACCTGCAATTTCCTGTCGCAAAGACCCCACATTACGCAACTCAGTCAAGCCTCCGACGCAGCCCTGTAGACCTCATCCAATATCCACCCCCGAGTCGCGACCATCACTTCCTAATGCAACTTCCACTCAGATCTCACCGAGTGAAGGGATACAAGAATAGAAACCAGTAGACATCACTGATCTACCTTGATGACATCACTAATATCATTCACGTCGCTTGTATCCGATGTTTGTTTACTTATAAATATGCAGCGTTGTGATGCTTGGGTTCGACTTTCTCGTAGCATCATTCTCTTGTACTTTGTCATCCCCTCACGAAGATAGCCCAAATTCCTATACCCAATACGCAAAGATCAAAACCACAGAAGACCAACAACACACATCAAGATGGATAAGCTTGCCTCGAAGCTCAGCGGTGGACACAAGCACGGTGGTGCTGGTGGTGCCCAGAATGAGGACTACGTCGACAAGGGTAAGTATACCCTTTTCGCTCTTTCAAGATATTGAAATACAGATATTGATGGGCAAACAGGTCTCGACCACCTAGAGACCAAGTACGGCCACGGCAAGATCGACCCCCATAACTCGAAGGTGCGACAGACGAATGAACGCATCACTGACTCCGTGAGGAATAAGTTCGAGAGTGCTACTGGGTACGTGTTACTTCCCCTTCTCCTTTATACGAGACGTACAGCTCACAATACTTTATCTAGAAAACATGTGCCCTCCAAGATCTCGAACTAGACGGAATGTGTTATGGCAGTCATGATTGAGACAAGCGAAATGTATTATACTATCGGCTATGCATGGATAATGAATACAACAACAGATTGTGTATGATGAAAACACCTATAATCGTTTGAAGGAAGAAAGTAACGATTCAAAGCCCGATGAAGTTCTGTAAGGCGCCATAAGCCTGGTGTTCATCCGACACAACTCTAGCATGTTCGGCACGTCGGCTGGAACCGGAACGTTCCCCTTCTGGCATGCATTGACGAGCTGCTCGTAGTAATTCTGCGCCTGTTGATAGTCTCTCTTGGCCATGTACATATTGCCTAGCATGCCCAGGATCGCCTGAGGATCAGGACAGCTCAAAATATCCCTGCTTCGGGCCCAGTCCAGATATCGCCGGAACCAAGGCAGAGCCAGGTCGAGGTTCTGCTGGGAGACAGAGTAACTATATGGGTTGCTTTGTTTCGCGTACATTAGACCCATATAAATCACGATTTGAATGGTCTCGGGGTTGTCAGAACCGAGACACTCTTCTGCCGTGGCCAGCGCTCGTCGTAGCGTTTCGGATGGTTCGGTGATTCCACCCGAAGCAAAAGTCTGACATGCACCAAGCAGCCGGAGACTGCGAATAGAAAGTGGGTTACGAGGGCCCAGCAAGTTGTTCAGCTCCCGGGAGGCCTCTGAGGTAACATTGACTATCTCGTCCGTACCCGTGTGATACTGGACCATAGCCATCACGTTGTTACTATTGTTGCTTGAGAGCTTGGCTACTACCAATTCGATGGTGTCAAGCACCGAGGCGTAGGTCTTGATATGGGTCTCACCCAGCAATCGCTTGAGAGACTCCGTACGCTTTTTGGCGGTCGCAATGCCCTCCTCTCGTCGCTCAACCGAGCTATATGCGTTCGCTAGACGACGGCGTGTCTCCAGCGTGTCAACATCATCTTCTCCGATTGTCATCTGCTGCCGGGCGAGGACATTGGCACAGACAGACTCTCCTTCCTGTTGCTTACCCTGAGACACAAGGATCTCACCCATCAAGCTTTCGGCTCTCATCGTAAGTGGATGGCGCTTGTCGAACACGCGCTGACTGTTGTTGGACACCCATTGGCACCACTCGGCCGCTTTGCCGATATATCCCGACTCAAGGTCGATCTCTGCTAGATTATAGCCGACCTGCAACGTGCTGTGGTGATCTGCACCCAGAGTGCGCAAGTGCTCCTGGAAGATGGTATACTCCACCCTCCGTGCGTCGTCCCACTTCCAGTTATTCTTGTGCTCGGCGGCTTCAACCGACCGTGGATCATTGTCAACAGGATTATATAGGGCTCCAATGACCCGCTGCGTCGCCGGTTGTGAAGCAATGGGGGGAGGATAGGGAGCGCTGCTGTTGGTATGTCGCGGCGGCAATGGTGGTCCCGCGCGTGGCGATGGCGACGGCTGGGGAATATAACCCTGCTCCGTGACCAATAGCTGGTCGGCAACCTG